TAGGTCTGGTCGGGATGGATCACGTCCGCCAGCACGGACTGCAGTCGCAGCGAGATGGCTTTTACTACGACCTTGTAGTCCGTGCTGAGGAGCGAGACGGGACGCCAATTCCGTAGGTTGCAGAGGTCCCCCTTCTTCGGCAGTAAGGCAAGCATCGCTCGCCTGCACGAAAGAGGGAGGACCCCGCTCTCGAAGGACTCCGCCCAGACGGTAACGAGGTCTGGGCCGAGGACGTCCCAGAACACGCGGTAGAACTCCACGGTCAGCCCGTCCATGCCCGGGGTTTTATTGTTGGGCATGAGACGGAGGGCTTCCGAGAACTCGGCCAGAGTGAGAGGCAGCTCCAGCCGGTCTCGGTCACCCACGCTGACGGTCGGGAGCTTGGTCCAGAGCGCCTTGCAGGCGTCGGCTTCGGTCGGATCCGGGGAGAACAAACTGGCGTAGAAGGCCCTGGCCCTTCCACGCATCTCTGCCGGATCCGTGAGGGGGGGTGCCGTCCTCTGCCAGAAGGCAGGTGACGTGCTTTTTAGCCCCCCTCCTTTTCTCAGCCAACCAACAGCCCGGCTTGGTGTCATCTTTCACATGGACAGAAATCCAAGGTGCTAGGCGCTGGTGAGCCTGCAGGGTTCCATACGAGGTGACATGTGGGAACGGAGGAGGGGGTTTACGTACTGCGCTGCCGAGTTGATTAGGGTTCAGTCTCTCCCCTTTTGCTTTCTCTTCACCCAGCTGCCTGGCTTGCCCACCCCTTAGTCTGGCCCTGGGTTTTCTCCAAACCTCTTCTAATTTATCAACTGCCTTATTGAATTGGTCACAGCAGTCACATCGGCGCCCACACACAGAGCTAAAATAACCCGCCCCCTGCTCCTGCTCCTGCTCCAGATTTATGCACTCGCTCGTGTGACCACTGTCTCTGGGAGCTCAGGTCAGCTGATTATCCACCAGGACTCCCCAAACTTTCAGCGTCAGAGTCCTCCCTCTTGCCAATGTGGCTACCTGCTTTCTGCCTAGAGGAATAGACATCCATTTAACAATGTAAAATACGTAGTGCCTGCTTGCATCCAATGTACCAAGTGATCCGCATCACTCTGAATCAGCCACCTGCGCTCCTCCAGTATTTACCAGGGAGGGTGTTATGTTTTCTTCCAGGTCCTGGCTCAAAATGTTAAACAGCTGAGGGCCAAGAATCAATGTCTGTGGGACCCTACTGGAAACATATCGACTTGACAACTATTCTCCATTGACAGGTACAATTCGAGACTGATCCGTTAACCAGTTTTCAAACTGTGTAATGTGTGCCATGCTCATGTTAGATTGTTCTGGGTTTTACCTAAAACATCATTTGATACTAAGTCAAATGCCTTACAAATGCCTGAGCACATTACATTACTACTACTATTACTACCTTTATCAACCAGCCCCCCCCCACACACAGAGTTCTTCTTCACACAGCGTGTAGTCAACCTGTGGACCTCCTTGCCAGAGGAGGCTGTGGAGGCTAGGACTATAATAGAGTTTAAAGAGAAGCTAGATAATTTCATGGAGGTCAGGTCCATAAAAGGCTATTAGCCAGGGGATAGAAATGGGGTCTCTGGCCTCTGTTTGTCAGAGGCTGGAGAAGGATGGCAGGAGACAAATCACTTGATCATTGTCTTCGGTCCATCCTCTCTGGGGCACCTGGTGCCGGTCACTGTCGGCAGACAGGCTACTGGGCTAGATGGACCTTTGGTCTGACCCAGTACGGCCATTCTTAGGTTCTTATGTTCACACCGCTCCGCTACCTTGCCTGGGATCGATGTCCGGCTAACAGGCCCATAATTAACTAGGTTGGCCTGTTAAACAGGTCCAGGAACATGCTAGAGCAGGGGGCTGGACTTGATGACCTCCTGAGGTCTCTTCCAGCTCTATGGTTCTAGGATTCTACGCTCCCGGTTTGTGCTTGTGGCCATGGGAGTGACCAATCGGAATGAAGGGGCGGGGCAGGGCAGACTGGCCGAGCAGGTGATGAAGGCTACCGTGACCGGTGGGGGCCCAGAGAAGGTCCCAGCAGGGGACTACACTGCTCCAGGCAGGCGTCTGGGTTCCATAGCCCTGACAGCCTGGCCCTATGCAGTGTTTGGAAAGTGGGTGGATTGTATGGCTCCCTCATTGGGAATCTCTCCCACCATTGGTCCCAAGCCTTGATCAGTGTCTTCCTAGTGACCTCATTTTCCCTCTCTTGGTTCCACACTCTTTGCTCCCAGGTCCCTCTCTGGACCCGGAGTCCTTCTCTCCCTGCTTGGGCCGTGCCCGGGAAGCGCTGCGTAAGGACTGACCAGCGTTACCCTGGCTCTACGCCGCCGTCTGCTCTCACCTTCTGTGCAGCGCCCTGGCCGAATTCCTCCAGCTGCTGCTTGAAGCCTGGGTTGGGATTGGCGATCGGCCGCACAGCTCTTACTGCCTGCAACACCTCCTGCCAGCTCAGCTCCGTCACTGCCATGACATAGGCAATAACAAGGGTGGTGCTCCGGGAGATGCCTGCCAGGCTGCAGACAGAAGGGGGGAAGATCAAGGCCTTCATCCTGCTGTCTTCTTCCTCCTCCTCTCACAGCCCTCCTCCTTGGAGCCCATGGGCAGCCCCGCCACCACATGCTCCTTCCCTTGTCACGGCTATTTCAGTGCCTCCTGCGAGAACTTCTCCTGTCACCCTGATCTGATCTGCATGCACATCACAGCCCCCTAGAAGTGAAAACGTAACGGGACCTCGGGCACTTAGTGTAGGAGCCTCTACAGTAGGAGGGAGGAAACTTTTTTGGGGTCAGGGGCCGCTGACCCACAGAAAAATCAGTTGGGGGCCACAAAACAAAACCCCCTCCCTGACGTGACTGAGTAGGGAGTCACCCTCCCCACGTTCCCCTCGCACAACAGAGCCTAGGGCAGGGGCTCCCAACCTGGGGTACGTGTACCTCCAGGGGGGACGAGACGCTTGTCAAGGAGGCATGGGGAATATTTGTTAAATAACTAGATTATCCTAATTGAAATATTCCAGAAGTAGCAGTGTGAGTGAAAAAAGTTGTGGATTCTAGAGTCTAGAATGTGTTTCCTTTCCTATTGAATGGGGGTACGGGAAGGTTTACTAAAAGCCAAGGGGGTACGGGAACCAAAAACAGTTGGGAACCCTTGGCCCAGGGGGCCCCAGCCTAGTAGATGTTATGTGTTCCAGCCCCACAGTGGGGCAGAGGAAAGGCTGGAGTGCCAGTGCAGCCTCCCCAGTACTGGGGGGAGCCCTGAGACTCAGGGGCTGGATCCAGGCAAATCAGGGGTTCCCCTCCCCTGCTCTATAGCTTGAGCTAGAAAGCCGGCTGGCTCTCAGCTTAGGCTGTAGCGCTCACTCCTTACCTCTCGCTGGAAGTGGGCTAAGTGCCGCTCCCCAGGGCCGCATTACGACTTTTGGGGGCCCTAGGCACTTCTGCCTTCGGGGGCCCCTCTCACCATAATAATATCAATATTAAAAATTATTTTTGATCTCACTTTAAATACTTCACCATTTTATTTTTTTTCTGTTTTAGGCAACATGTAATAGATTTTCGTGGGCCCTAAAAGTTTCGTTTTTTTCTGATGCGAGAAAAAAATTAAACCATTTTCTTCGACCCTAAAAGTTTATTTTTTTTCTTCTGATTTTAAAAGAAATTAAAACATTTTTGTGGACCCCTAAGCATATCGTGGGCCCTAGGCACTGTGCCTAATGGATAAGTCGGCCCTGCCGCTCCCTGGGACAGTGACCCACCCCCCGTAGGCGTGTGGGTTACAAAAACACGAGCCACTTCCTGGAGCCCTGCCCCCCAAACTGGTTCTTCTCCTCCCCCACCCATTAAAGCTGAAGCTCATGCTGCCCTGTCTGCTTGGTCAAGGCTCCCCTAACCCAGCGGCCCCCGTACATCAAGCTGGGCTAGGAAGTCTTTCACTTCATCCCTGACTCCAGGCAGCAACCCCGTCCCCAGCGGGGTTCCCCCACTAACAGAGCCCGTCCGCCCAGCATGTGTGGTCTGTTTTCTACAGAGCCGGAGCCTCCTGGGGACTCTACTTCCCAGTCCAGTTTCCTGTGGTGCTGTGCTCCTCCGGTTATGGGAAGGGACCCTACCAGTGAACAAGGCAGTTCCCTCCGTGCAGGCGGCAGCAGTGGATGAAACGGATACAGGCCTTAAAGTGCTTCTTGCTAGCAGACAAAAGCGACAGAGAGTGAAGACTCCAGGCTGTTAAATAGGGTGTCACAGGAAGTGCAAGTGTTCCCCTGGGTGCAGGGCCAGGCGGTGGCTGCTTCTTTCCTAGGCACCGTTCCCAGCTGCTGATTTAACAGCATGGTGCACGGGTGCCAGGGGGCTGATGGGCCAGGCTACTCCGGGCACCTTGCAGCTGCCAGGCTTCCAGAGGGCCCCTCTGCTGTACCCACCAGGCCAGTAGCACAGCTGGGGACTGGGCAGCCCTTTCCTGGAGCCACCTCACTTAAAGGAAACGAGCCCCTCTCTTGGTTCCACACTCTTTGCTCCCAGGTCCCTCTCTGGACCCGGAGTCCTTCTCTCCCTGCTTGGGCCGTGCCCGGGAAGCGCTGCGTAAGGACTGACCAGCGTTACCCTGGCTCTACGCCGCCGTCTGCTCTCACCTTCTGTGCAGCGCCCTGGCCGAATTCCTCCAGCTGCTGCTTGAAGCCTGGGTTGGGATTGGCGATCGGCCGCACAGCTCTTACTGCCTGCAACACCTCCTGCCAGCTCAGCTCCGTCACTGCCATGACATAGGCAATAACAAGGGTGGTGCTCCGGGAGATGCCTGCCAGGCTGCAGACAGAAGGGGGGAAGATCAAGGCCTTCATCCTGCTGTCTTCTTCCTCCTCCTCTCACAACCCTCCTCCTTGGAGCCCATGGGCAGCCCCGCCACCACATGCTCCTTCCCTTGTCACGGCTATTTCAGTGCCTCCTGCGAGAACTTCTCCTGTCACCCTGATCTGATCTGCATGCACATCACAGCCCCCTAGAAGTGAAAACGTAACGGGACCTCGGGCACTTAGTGTAGGAGCCTCTACAGTAGGAGGGAGGAAACTTTTTTGGGGTCAGGGGCCGCTGACCCACAGAAAAATCAGTTGGGGGCCACAAAACAAAACCCCCTCCCTGACGTGACTGAGTAGGGAGTCACCCTCCCCACGTTCCCCTCGCACAACAGAGCCTAGGGCAGGGGCTCCCAACCTGGGGTACGTGTACCTCCAGGGGGGACGAGACGCTTGTCAAGGAGGCATGGGGAATATTTGTTAAATAACTAGATTATCCTAATTGAAATATTCCAGAAGTAGCAGTGTGAGTGAAAAAAGTTGTGGATTCTAGAGTCTAGAATGTGTTTCCTTTCCTATTGAATGGGGGTACGGGAAGGTTTACTAAAAGCCAAGGGGGTACGGGAACCAAAAACGGTTGGGAACCCTTGGCCCAGGGGGCCCCAGCCTAGTAGATGTTATGTGTTCCAGCCCCACAGTGGGGCAGAGGAAAGGCTGGAGTGCCAGTGCAGGCTCCCCAGTACTGGGGGGAGCCCTGAGACTCAGGGGCTGGATCCAGGCAAATCAGGGGTTCCCCTCCCCTGCTCTGTAACTTGAGCTAGAAAGCCGGCTGGCTCTCAGCTTAGGCTGTAGCGCTCACTCCTTACCTCTCGCTGGAAGTGGGCTAAGTGCCGCTCCCCAGGGCCGCATTACGACTTTTGGGGGCCCTAGGCACTTCTGCCTTCGGGGGCCCCTCTCACCATAATAATATCAATATTAAAAATTATTTTTGATATCACTTTAAATACTTCACCATTTTATTTTTTTTCTGTTTTAGGCAAAATGTAGTAGATTTTCGTGGGCCCTAAAAGTTTCGTTTTTTTCTGATGCGAGAAAAAAATTAAACCATTTTCTTCGACCCTAAAAGTTTATTTTTTTTCTTCTGATTTTAAAAGAAATTAAAACATTTTTGTGGACCCCTAAGCATATCGTGGGCCCTAGGCACTGTGCCTAATGGATAAGTCGGCCCTGCCGCTCCCTGGGACAGTGACCCACCCCCCGTAGGCGTGTGGGTTACAAAAACACGAGCCACTTCCTGGAGCCCTGCCCCCCAAACTGGTTCTTCTCCTCCCCCACCCATTAAAGCTGAAGCTCATGCTGCCCTGTCTGCTTGGTCAAGGCTCCCCTAACCCAGCGGCCCCCGTACATCAAGCTGGGCTAGGAAGTCTTTCACTTCATCCCTGACTCCAGGCAGCAACCCCGTCCCCAGCGGGGTTCCCCCACTAACAGAGCCCGTCCGCCCAGCATGTGTGGTCTGTTTTCTACAGAGCCGGAGCCTCCTGGGGACTCTACTTCCCAGTCCAGTTTCCTGTGGTGCTGTGCTCCTCCGGTTATGGGAAGGGACCCTACCAGTGAACAAGGCAGTTCCCTCCGTGCAGGCGGCAGCAGTGGATGAAACGGATACAGGCCTTAAAGTGCTTCTTGCTAGCAGACAAAAGCGACAGAGAGTGAAGACTCCAGGCTGTTAAATAGGGTGTCACAGGAAGTGCAAGTGTTCCCCTGGGTGCAGGGCCAGGCGGTGGCTGCTTCTTTCCTAGGCACCGTTCCCAGCTGCTGATTTAACAGCATGGTGCACGGGTGCCAGGGGGCTGATGGGCCAGGCTACTCCGGGCACCTTGCAGCTGCCAGGCTTCCAGAGGGCCCCTCTGCTGTACCCACCAGGCCAGTAGCACAGCTGGGGACTGGGCAGCCCTTTCCTGGAGCCACCTCACTTAAAGGAAACGAGCACCCCTTTTTTTTTGCCCCCCCCCGCCACAGCGCTGGGGGCAGGACACAGCACCAGACAGCCCTGCTCTGTTATTCATGCCTCCGAAGTGTGACCCTCGGCCCCTCCGATTCAGCTAAGCCTGCGGCCCTTCTCCCGCAGTGATGGGTGCCCACTGGATTCTCTCACAACGAGGCGGCCACCCACCCGGATCTCAGGCAGCCTTGTGCCTAGCTTGTGACCCCTCTCACACAGAGCTCTGGCAGGCTGGCGCACTGGGACTATGACCTAGCCTGCAGCATGGCATGATGGTTTCAGCCTCCAGGGCTTCTCTGGCAAGGCCCCACCTTGGGGGCCCACTTGAGACA